TCTGATTCCGCAGAACTGGGTTGGGTGTGAAAATGCATTTGTTGTTAACATTCTTTTTTCATTCGGTTTTCCCAGTTACGAGTCCTTTTTTTTTTTTTTTAAAGCTGATCGTTTTGTGTTCATTTTGTTTAGTTCTTTTTTCGTAACAGATTTAATGTTTAGTATAGAGGTTAGAAAAAATTTGCAGTGTGAGATAGGCAAGAAGTAAGGCATGTAGCAACATCAGCACGGCAAAGGGCACTCCTTTAAAGGCAAGAAAAGGCAAAAATATTTTAAGTCAAGTGATAGCGATTGCTGTATGAGTCATACGATTTTTGAATCAAGCACGGGCAACTAGTCGTCTTATATAGTGCAGAAAAGTGTTTGAAATTTGCATTTTACTTGACCTTCAACAAGTTGGCACTTATTTGTAAAATTTTCCTTAACTATAACAAGTCAATTCTTGAATGAAATGTTCATTTAAAATTTTTGTTTCAAAGATTTCAAGTAGTGAATATATTTTACTTTGTGAAACGATAGAGAGCGGTCGAAGCCTGATCGTTTACTATAAATTAATTACAAATTATTATAGAAATTAATTATCAGTTATTTCATTATTCCTTTATTTACTTTAGAATGCATTGTACAATATTTTACTATAAGATTTTTATTATGCCTGGTGTTGGTATTCCACCAAACTCTTTTAATGTTATGAGGAAGATATTGTCATAGGGTGAAAATACCAGAGACAAAAACATCAACTCAAAAACACGGGTCATGTTCTCAAAATCCTCGCCACCTAGAGACCTTCATACGGTCGCCATGCATGGTACCAAACACGTTCAGAAATATCTAAACTGTTATCTGTATAGAACCGCTTCCTAAAATCAATGATGAAAACGGCTTTGCCCGAGACTCTTGGCAAAGATTATCCTTCTTTGAACATTGTGGATTGCACTACAGAATCATAAAGAGCTGTACCAATTAACAAAAAACATATCATTCGAAGACTTCCGACAGCAGCAACAACTAAAATGGATAGCACATGCAACTCGTAGAGAAAATAATGACATAACCAAGATGTTAACATTCCACACCACTTCAAATAAAAGGTTAGGAAAGAAACCTTCCATCAATACTGGAAAGAGCGATAAAAGCTACTGGACTTGAGAAACTTATTTTCCTAAAAAATGGTTTTAATAGAAAGATTTGATAAATTTCGACCGAAAACAGTACTGGCTGCTCGGTCAATGAATGCTAAATGTTTCCTTAGAGGGAAACGGCTAATATTATTGTTGTGGATTCCGAGATGAAATCCGGTACCAATAAATAACAAACGCCAAGAATGAATATAGGAAAATAATGTATTAACGTAATAATACAAACTGGTAATGCAGGTTAGTAGTTCCAGGAATGAGGGTTAGTAGCAAAATATATATATACAGTCTTTGGTATCGAAGTATCGCTGTATGACTTCTTACTGAGTCTACGTGCTCGTTCACGGTGACTCTTGCTCGCTACGTTCGTTCTGACTGTCTGTTATCTTACTCTCACTCTTCCGGTTCCCTACAACCTTTCACTCCCCTCTCTTCGTATTGTCTTACTCTCGGGTCTTCACGTAGCCGTAGTATATGTATATACTGGGTGAGTTCATTTGTGTAAAAAGCGGAGAACCCCTCAACAATTATCATAGATCCTTCAAAAGTGAAATAACTTAAAATAGGAACATGTTATAGAGAGGTGAAGAACAGAAGGCTGACTAAATGTATTACTCCTCCTCCACCTTCACGTGGTCGCTTTTAATGTGAGGTCTTCATATGCATATTTATGGGCCAATGCCAAAATTTGCCCCGTTTCCGCAACTGCTGTCGGGCTGGCGTTGATATCAACTAACTCGCCCTTTTTTTGTACAGTGAGAGAGGTTTTGCAGCAGCGCTGGAATCGCTAGGATCAGTAATCCCTTAAACCTCTTTCCAAGAACTACTCGAAGACAGAAACACGGCTGGTAAGTGAAGAACAGATACTTCCCTTTGATCCCAGATCAAAGTACAGATAAATTAGAATTGTTGGTGGTAATTAAATCTTTACCTACGTATAGAATATTATTTTTTACGTGCGTAAATATAAAAATATATAACTGATAAATTTATATCATTTTATTTAATTATCCCACAAACGTTTGTAAATGTGTAGATATAGGAATCAATACTGCCTGTTGACTGGCAGCTAAATTTCACTGTACACGGTGTTTATATTCTCTTGTAGATTATGGAATCAATTTCAACATTATTGGCGATAGTGAGTTTATTGGTTTTCGTTTTGAGAAAGGTTAGTGGTGTCTTTTGTTTAGTTTTTAGAATTAGATCGGTGGTTTAAGATTGTTTGTAGATTAACAAGACAGCACTTATCTCTTAAAAACCCAAATCAGTAAATTTATTATCGCCAAATATTATATATATATATATATATATATATATATATATATATATATATATATATATGTGTGTGTGTGTGTGTGTGTGTGTGTGTGTGTGTGTGTGTGTGTGTTGTGTGTATGTGTTTCGTATTTGTTAAAGAATAATTCAATTGCATTTCTTCCATCGCTATGTTGACAGAGTTCTACTTCTAAGATAACAGGAAAGGATTATGACGATACGAAGAGAAAACACAACTGAGTTATTAATGATAACAGTAAAAGTTGTTATCACATAGCGTCGGTTCAAAAAAAACAGCACTCAAGCAGACAAAGCTGCTATTAAGAAGTATAAAGAGCGAAATGTAAGTGTAGTTTCCGGCTTTTCGCTTAGGCGTTTACCGTGTCTACTCGGTGCAGGTTTTAATAGTACGTGTTTTTATGATCAATTTTTTTTTACGCAAGAAATAAAGGGACACACTATCCAAAAGTAATTTTTTAAAGAGTTTAAAAGTGATGCATTTTCGGTGACCGGTTGCACTTTACACAGGGCATTTTTTGGAAGATTTTAAAAATCATGCATTTTCGGTGACCGGTTGCATTTTACAGAGGTAATGTGATTTTCATGAAGATTTTAAAAACAATGCATTTTCGGTGACCGGTTGCATTTTACAGAGGTAATGGAATTTTTATGAAGATATTAAAAACAATGCATTTTCGGTGACCGGTTGCATTTTACAGAGGTAATGGAATTTTTATGAAGATTTTAAAAACAATGCATTTTCGGTGACCGGTTGCATTTTACAGAGGTAATGGAATTTTTATGAAGATTTTAAAAACAAGGCATTTTCGGTGACCGGTTGCACTTTTCACAGGTAGTTCTTTTACTACAGCTAGGGCTCTCCAAGCCACATAAATTGAATCGACTCATCCTCCATCCCTTCATATTCCATTAGTGAAGAGGAAGTTTCACACATACAGCTTTTTTTACCAGTACTGTTGCATTATGGAATTGACTTCCAAGAGGCAGCTTCTCTGATCATGATACTCTTAACTTCTTCAAGTCCAAGGTCAATTCTTATCCATCCTACATATACATCTCTTATTTCCTCACTGTCCTCCTTATTACTCTTTTCTCTACTTGCTCTTTATTAATGTTTCTGTTTCTTCCACACACAGTAACCAGTTGTGTCTTAGTGGCTTTATTGCCTTGCATGGGGTGATAACAATTAAAAAGAAAAAAAAAGAAGAATCTAGACTAGAGTTGTTCAATGCTTTCTTTCCAGCCTTGACAGATTTCAAAAGCGTTCACGTGGTCTTGTGTGTGTGTGTATATATATGGGGTGGGGTTACGTATTTAACGCTCTCTTTCCTGCAGTCGTCACATCGCAAACCAATTGTCACTATATTTTTTTTTTCCATCGCAAATGTCCAGATGAGTTCAGACCTATACACGGAGCCGAATCATCCTAATTTTCCCCGCATCCCATCTGTAATTTCAGCTCACATAGCCTTTTTCTAAGAACTGTTAATTTATAGAACAGACGCCTGCAAGAATGCATCTCTTAAAACTACGGACCTCAAGGTCAAGGGTCTACTATTATCTATCCTCCTTCTCCCTATAATCTTCAATTCCTGCTACCCACTCTTCCATTCATATAACGCACCTCATCCAGTAACCCTCTACCTTGAGTGGATTCCGAGCCTTGTATCAGGTGAACTTTAGTATTAAATAAACAATCAGGAATGTTGAAAAGATGCACCACATACACTCATGAACACGTATGCTTGTACATATACACATATGTACATCCATATATATATATATATATATATATATATATATATATATACACACACACATAAACAAGGACTTGTACCCACAGAAATAAAACATATATTTGAACAAAATAAACGTCATTTTTTTCTAGGATCCTAAAAGTATATAAAAAAATAACGTTTATTTTGTTCAAATATATAGTCATCAACAGCGTGGCTAGACGTCTTATTGCTTCAAGCCGGGATCGAAACCCTGTCGATTTGGTATCAGTTAGAGATTCTACCCCTGGGCTATCGTCGCACGGCGAAGAGGGCGGAAACATATACACATATAATATATACTCACAAGCACGTATAAACATTCACATATGTCCACACACGGACACATACGCACGCATAGGAAAAGTACATAAGAAAATCTTTTAGAAGATTAGATCGACCCCAGTTGAACAACACGCTGGGTTAATGATATTTTAAATGGTACAATCCCCAGGAGTTTATTCATCAAATATCAAGCCGATCAAATTCTGAAGCAAACCCCGCAGAAAGGACATTTTGTGACGTTGGAGACAATTATTTCACCATTTCTGTAAGCGTCACAGGACCCTCATGTAGCCTGATGTGTGTTTGGCGCATGCGCAGATGTGCGTATTTTTAAACGCATTTCTTTATACAGGATCAGTGCTTTCAATTCTGTCTAAATCATGGGACTTTTGTTTTTTAAATCCATGGTTGAATTTATTCATACGTTGTGAATAAGCCCCTGTTTGAACCACGTCTGTTCGAAAATTATCGAACCGTTTAATATTAAACCTGTATTTTTTTCATCATGATCGGCAATAATATGCCAAATATCTCAGGTAATGATATGCCAATGTTTTACAAATATAAAAAATAAAGAGACAACAAAAATATCTGTCGCTTCCGTTCAAAGTCTAGCATATTATGAAAGCTCCATCTCTGTATGCCTTTACAGCAACCTCATTTAGTAACAGTCTATTTAGAGCGGCTCTTTAGCCATGTACTGGGTGAACAATAGTAATCTTACCTAAGGCAGGTATAAAACTTTCACCAATCAATGAACGTGTTTTTCTTCAGAGAAGCCCCGTGCCTTGAGCCTTGAGCGCCTATAGAAAGTTAAACTCAACCCAGATTTGAACTTGTACACACGATCTATCGTTAAGGATGCTGGAATATAATGATGGTTGCTTCTTTGTACAGCTCTAGTAAGTACCTAACATCTACCGCTATCCACTATCTTTATAAAAGCTAGATCAAGCCGAAAACGGGCTACTGATGCCGTATATGGACAAGAGCTGCCTCGTATTCACCTTTCGGTCATCATAGTCTCCGCGTTCTTGTGGGTGGTGGATTCTTTTCCACTCTGCAACACCTTTCCCTCAGATGAAACGATGTCGCATGTCTCTTGCTGCTCTATCGCCATTTTCGTGGAAAGTGGTAAGACATTCCTTGGTTCCACGGCTAAGATTCGCCATGGCACGCATATTGTAGCGAATTCCATTGATGAGATATGTTACACCCGAACAACTTCTTCCCATTCTTTTATGGAACCAACTCACAAGAGGTTGCTCTCCCTTTCACTAAAATTTAACCTATTCAAATCGAGTCGACCGTTATCTTCTCCACATATCTCCATAAACTGTGCCTCTTACTCTCTAACACTCTACCTGGAGTGGCTCTTGGGCCTTGTACATGGTGATCATTATTGTAAAAAATAAACTATAAATATAGTAACTAGGGTTGTTTATTCTAAGTCTTCATGACAAGCCGATCAAGGATTGATTTAAAACTAGTAAAAAGTTTGCCGTCAAGAGATTTATTGAGAATCTAGTCCGTAACGACGCCATATTCCAAACTCTCTGCTTGTTTTATTTCCTGTTGTGTATGTGATCAAAGGGATACAAAATGGAAGAGAGATACTGCATTCTAAAAAGAAAATGGCGATTGCAAAAACGGTTTGTGAGTTAAAGTTATAAAATCGGTTTATTCTTGTCCAGAATCGTTGCATTCGTACGTTCTTTTTTTTTTGTTTGTAGGAAAATTACAAATGTAGAATAGAACGAAAGGATGTTTAGTTATCGTAAATAAAGATCGCTTCATTGGAAGCAAATGGCTAAAAATAATTCAAAAAGCTAAGAAAAGAGAGAAAAAATGTGAACGCTCACCAACAATAGTTTCCAATCTGTCTCTTTCTCCCTTCCCTCTTCCTACTCTTGCCCTCTCCTCCCTTTCTTTTTCTCTCCACTCTCTCTCTCTCTTTCTCTATGTGTGTGTATGTAAGTGTGTGCGTGTTTCTCAGTCTGTTCATATCTATCTATCTATCTATCTATCTATCTATCTATCTATCTATCTATCTATCTATCTATCTATGTCCGTTTTCTTTCTCCCTTCTCTTCCTCTCTTGCCCTCTCCTCCCTATCTTTTTCTCTTCTCTCTCTCTCTCTCTTTCCCTATGTGTGTGTATGTAAGTGTCTGCGTGTTTCTCAGTCTGTTCATATCTATCTATCTATCTATCTATCTATCTATCTATCTATCTATCTATCTATCTATCTATGTCCGTTATCTATGTATGTATATATGTATCTATCTATCTATCTAGAAATATGGTTTGACCAAAAACTGCTTAAATATGTCAAAAAGTGATGGATATTTACGAGCATTTCTTAAATTTAAACTAAAATTTTTCCTTTTCTTTATACTTACTTGTGGCAAAATAAAATCTTTACATTTGTCTTGATAAAATCAAAGGACGAAACACGTTGATTAAGATAATTTTTCCTTTTGTCTTTATTCATATCTATCTATCTATCTATCTATCTATCTATCTATCTATCTATCTATCTATCTATCCCAATCTATCTATCTATCTATCTATCTATCTATCTATCTATCTATCTCAGTCTCTTAATTATCTATCTATCTATCTCAGTCTTATTATCTATCTATCTATCTATCTATCTATCTATCTATCTATCTATCTATCTATCTAAGCTCTATCAACGTGCGCCCTTACCTGTCTATGCAGCGTCGTCTAAATTTAGTAAATAAGTTTCTCAACCTGTTTGTGCCAATTTCTCTAAATGAGAGCAAACGTCTCGTATTTTAGTATTTTGAAAGCGATACGAAGCTTCCATCATAACCAAATGTAAATGAAAGCTGACATGGAATACACTCCTCCCCAACGCACCACACCTTCTAGACGGTGGCGTAGTGGATATAGTAGTTGGTTATGTATGTGTCCAATCCTTGGAACGAATCATAGGGACAAAATATTACAGTATCCAACAGGTACCCCATATCAGCCAATCAACGGACACTTGATGATGAGCTGAGGGTATTTGGTCGAAACGTTGTGTCTATAATAACATCTATATCAATAAATATGAAATCAATAGTTGGAAACAATAAAAGAATTATCTCATTGTTATGTTAGGTAATTTATTGCTTTTCCAGATTTTTGTCAGTTATGTGTTCAACAGATTTTTTTGGTCTATATAATCCTGAATTTTTACTAAGCTGTCCAAGTCGACGATATCACCCAGTCTTTAACTTATGAAAACATTTTGGTCTATATTGATTGATTTGTTTTTTTTACAACTTATCAACCCCTCGCAGGTTATTTAAAGCCAGAAAATATTTTTAGATTGTAAGAATATATTTTGGCGATAATAATGGTTTACAAGTTTTACTAATTTTTTCTTTTAATTTCTTCTGCTTAATCAGTAGATTGATTGATTGATTCGTTTTCTACGGCTTATCAACCCTTTGCAGGTTATTTAAAGCCAGAAAATATTTTTAGATTGTAAGAATATATTTTGGTGATAATAATGGTTTCCAAGTCTTACTAATTTCTTCTTTTAATTTCTTCTGATTAATCAGTAGATTGATTGATTGATTCATTTTCTACGGCTTATCAACCCTTTGCCGGAAAATATTTTTTAGATTTTAAGAATTTTTTGGTAATTATAATGCCTTGCTGATACCAGTCCTACAAATTAACCGATAGCTTGGGGGGAGAAGAGGCGGATTTATATCTCTCCCAAGGGTATTTGCGTGAATAAGTGAATATAACGAACTTGACTGGAATTTGAACTTGACTCTCTGATTTCCAATTCCGAGCCGTTTACACCACCGGCACACCCAAGCTTACAGCACCTGTTATTCTCAAGGAGTTACCCATATAGATACTGATCAGGCTGGACGTTGTATAACTTCGGAGATCGTACTTGAACAGGCGTTTGAACGTGATATGGACGTCAACCCTTTTGATCTCTAAGAACATCATTTGGATAATGATGATTTCCGGTCGGCATTTCTGATTCTTGATATGGTGATGTGTGAATAATGTAACGGGTATCAGTGTCGACAGGGGAGTCAGTGAGCCGAGTTCAAATCTCAGTCTAGCCTCCAGCGTTTACTTTTCCATAAATGCTCTTGGAAAAAGTGTGAAAAAGTCTCTCCTCCTCCTAGTCATGGGTTAAATAGCTGGATAAACTGAGCTCAGTCTAACCTTGGGTAGTAATCGCTCTAAGAGTAGAAAAACCGTAAATTTCAAACCATGGAGAAGGCAACGACAAAACACTCCCCTATCTTTCCCAGGGCGCCATGATAATACACCAACAATAAAAAAAGGAACCTGTGGAGAGCTATGATCGCCTGCGTCGTTAAAAAAGCTGCCGTATAAAGGAGACTGGAAATAGTCGTTAGCACGAAGCTCATTTCAGAGTACAATTTTATGTTTGTAAATTCAGTGATGCCCATGTTTTGATTTAATAAACTGAATATTCCAAGACAATTATGGGTGGTAAGAATATTTTACTTCTGATCGCAGGAAGGTTGGCAGACAATTTCTGTTTCTTGAATTGCAATCACGAGAAATTAATTACGCTTTTAATTAATCATCATGCCACCTGTGCGTTCATCTGATCTCCATAGTGATTGGGCGAATTCTTTGTCACGTGACCGGCGTAATATTAATTTCATTGTTCGCTCACGCAGACAGTATCACGTGACTGGATTGCAACACGGAATGAACATTTTATTTTATGAACAGATTTTTGCATACTGAAAGTGCATGTTAAACTTTCTTTTTCTTTTCCTTAACAAGTTTTTCTTATTCTGATACAAGGCCACACATGTAAAGCAACCCATTGAGGACTAAGCTTAATTAGGGTGGGAGATTAGCCTGTTAATCCACGTCGATTCGCCCCTAGGAATATTTAGTTGGTTTACTAAACGTTCTTTGAGATGGATGCACTCACACAGAGTAATCTTTAAGGAATGGATTTTTTCATTTTTATTTCTGATTATATTTAGTAGGTACACGTGTTTGAGTAGACGTCTGTGTTTTTTAAATTGTGAAATTAACATCTATTAGCCAAGAAATTAGTTTGTTGTGATTGCATTTTTAAGAAAGAGGAATTGTCTGCAAACCTACATTCTATCAGTACTAAGGTATTCTTACCGCCCATAAGTGTTTTGTTGGGACATTTAGTTTATTAAATAAAAACATAGACATCGCTGATTTAAATAAAGTGAGCCTCTCGACAGGAATCGAACCCGTATTTATTTTAATGGTGAATATAGATCTACACTAGAAGCCAAACGTTTGGGGACACCCTGCATTTCTTTAAAAAACACCTTAAATGGAATATTTTTACATTCTTTTAAAGTATGAGATAAAATTTCAGTAATTACAGTGTATTTGCTTTTATTTTAACAAAAATAAGCGCTTAACTATAAAAAAATATCATACAACAGCATCATATTTTGTTTTTATCAATAAGACCATCACCCGCCTTAATTACTGCTTTACAAACTCTTGGCATTCTTTCGAACAGATTAAAAAAAAAAGTAGATGGCAGACCTTCCAAAGCATTCTTCCATCGCTGTAAAAGCTCGCTCACTCTTTGGGTATTCTTTTCGAACTCTCCGATCACAAATTATATATATATATATATATATATATATATATATATATATATATATATATATATATATATATATATATATATATATATATATATATATATATATATATATATATATATATATATATATATGTATATATATATATATATATATATATATATATATATATATATATATATATATATATATATATATATATATATATGTATATATATATATATATATATATATATATATATATATATATATATATATATATATATATGTATGTATATATATATATGTATGTATATATATATATATATATATATATATATATATAAACTACATGCAAAACAACCTACATTTCTTTAAAAGACAGCTTAAAATGAGATTTTTTTATACTTTTTTTAAAGTAAAAGATAAAATTTCAGTAATTAAAGGTTATTTGCATTTATTTTGACAAAAATAAGCACTTAACTATAAAAACTTATCATACATCACCATCATATTTTGTTCTCTTCAATAGAACAAACGTGAAGACGAATCCAAATTTGAACTTTTTGTTAGTAAGAGTAGCCTGGAGAGAGACTGAAAAATAAAGGCAAATACAATGTGAGAACTTACATTTTATTTTTTACTTAAAAAAATACAAAAATATCTCATTTTGCGTTGTTTCTTGTTTAAAGAAATGCAGAGAGAGTCCAAACTTTTGTCTTGTAGTGTACATCGGATGGATTTAATGACTAGAGTAGATGTCATATCCTTTATGGAAATACTTAGCCAATACGACTTAGAAGACAATGAAAGGAAAGTCTTCGGCTAATATTCTAAGTAGTAAAATTATAACTTCTTTTAAATATTATGATGTTAACATAAAAACAGTTAATTCTTGTAATTTCTTGGATAAGAGGATTTTTGAGAGTTTCAGTTCACATTCAAGCGACATTCATGTAAGACTATGTTTCAAGACATTCATTAAAGTCGATTATTGTTTTTTTTCAGGCGATCATGGCTCTCCACCATTTCATGTCCTTTGTAGTTCTTAGAAATTTTTGTCTTTTTGTTATCTCTTTTCAAGTTTTCTCCTCCATCCATTTACTCAAGCCCACTTGGCTTTCCTCTGTCTCACTTGCTTTCTGTATGTCCTGTGAGTGTCAAATTTTCTAAGCCTCCTTTTCTCATCATGTACTCTAAAAATTTCAACTGCATCTTCTTGATGTTAAATATAATATCGGTTTTGTTTCCATTTTCCCTAAAGCTTCATATTTGCTCATTTGTTCGGAACCATGGTATTTTCAGCATCCACATTTCTATTACTTTGTTTCCTCTTCATCTGTGAAGAGATTGTCCAGCATTCACACTTATATAGAAGGACTTATATTACGTAACAGTTCAGTACTCTTTTCTTTGTTTCTGTCGAGAACAAGCTTCTTAAAGACGATAAAGTGATGGAATGGCTTTCCAGCTTCTCCAGATATTCATCCAAAACGAAACTTGTGGTCTCATCATTAAATGAGTTGCATATAAGAGTAGTTAAATTTCCCAGAAGTAATTCTGAAGATAAGACAAATTGGTTTAAAAATGACAATTGGAAAAAAATATTCTTAGATCTTGCCGACGCGTTTCGTCTTCCGACTTTATCAAGGCAAGCAATGAAAGCGAAATGATTTGTAGCCATATTTACATCAAATCCAAACTCTTAATAAAGAAAGAAGTTACCAATATCCAGAAAGAGGCTTACGCAGAAGCGTCTCTTTTTTACATTTTGGATTTGATGTAACTATGGATACAAAGTATTTGAGATGCATGCTACAGAAGCATTTTATTTAGGTATATGTATCGTATTAATCAAATATATAAGTTTGTAGCTTAGACCTTTTATTTTTTTTTTATAAATTGAAATCCGTATTGCCCTGAGTGTGTTTGTCTCTTGTTTCCAGTTTAGGACTGGGTTTCCAGTTCCTTCCAAATTCTACTTCAATTTTATGCTTCTAACGTCTCTGTCTAAACTCTGAAATTTATACTATTATAGGGATTCTGGTTTCTTTAAATGCTTTTCCTTCTCTTTTACTTCCGGGATTCCATTGCGGCTTGATGACGTTATCGCCTTACCTTGGGTGAATTGATTAAAAAAAAAAATCAAAATTTCCAATGATGGTGATGATGACTATACCTCGTAGAATAAATGACACATACAAATGTCAGTAGAGCTTGAAGGTTTCATTTGTCTATTATTTGCACTCGGAATAATATCTTCATCTTTGTTGTTTGTAATCCCAACGTTTCGGTCGTTGTGCTCTTTGACCTTCTTCATGTATCTTTGTGATTTTCTGTGGCCCCGATAAAATTTACCAGGACCCACATGTGGCCCCCGGTTAAAAACCATGGCCCTAGATGATTAAAGCTTTCGTTCGTGAATCTGGTGGTATAGTAATTGTGAGTTCAAACCTTGACCCCGGTAGCACAGACTGAAAGAGGAATGCAATCACTGAGCAGTATTAAAAAAAAATAAAAAAAATAAAAATAAAAACAAACCAAAAAAAAAAGGCGATGTATCTCTAGCCATGGACAGTGGCATGTGAACTTTCTACCCCGTAGATTAAATAAAGTGTTCAGTCTGAAATTCCCTGTAGTTTACCTAGATCAGCAGATGCATGAAGAAGGCTGAAAAGTTGTAATCGTAGCAACAATGACGACATTAGTTCGACTGTAAATAATAGAGATCAGTGTTTCTTAAACTTTTTAAGCAATTGCACATCTCGGTTCAAATGAAAATATCATGGCACACTTTACAAAATTTTAAAAGGGTATACATTTAAATGTTATGAAATAAAACCATAGATTAAAAAAATACACACACAAATATGAACTTACTTTACTTCAATGTTTCTATTCAACTCTCTGTACAGCTTATTTAGTGTGAAACCTGTGCCTAGTGTTTTTTTTTTTCGCGATTTCTTCAATGTTTGTTTGAATGTGCGATAATCAGACTCTCATTTCTTCTTCACTTGAGCGTAGTATTTCTGGCTTCTTATTTTTGATGTTATTTAGGATTGAGAAGCTTAATTCACATAAATAAGAAGTAGAAAATGGCAATAAAACTGATAAAGCCTTTTTAGCTAATGTGGGATAAAAAGTTTAATACTTATTCATTTATTCAAATACTACTTCCACACACACACACACACACACAGACAGACACACACATATTTTTCAATTGAGCACTGTTGAATGACAAGCTAATTCTAAAGACAACGGGCACCTGCGTAAATGCGAAGCTCTTCAGTAAAATGAATGGAGCACTTTGGCTGCTTGGCGTTTACGTTTGTAAAAACAATACGCTAGATTTTGTCGACCTATCCTGTCGAGTGAATATAGCTCAGTGGTTGAAGCACTGCCTAACACCAAAACGGTTAGGTTTCGATCCTGGCGTGAGAAATTCGGTTTTCTAGTCGCACTGAGGATCTCTGATACAGCGAAACAGTATCAATCCTTTGGAGATTATTAAAAACTGAAAATATTTTTTTTTTTTAGAGTGTAAGGTTTTTTTCGAGATAATGTTTTTTAGTTTTTACTAATTAACCCATAGCTGGGGGGAAGAGCTGGATTTATAACTATCCCTTTCTAATTCTAGGGAATTAGAACTCGGCTTTTCGATTAACAATTCCGAGTCGTTATCCATTACACGACCCGCACGTTTATAGCAACTGGTATTCCTAATGCGGTCACCCATCTAGGTACTGACCAGGACCAATGTTGCGTAACTTCGGTGATCCTACGGAAACCGGTGTTTCAACGTGATGTAGCCGTAAGCCTTATAAAAACATGCATTATGAAAACACGAAACAAACTATGTTGTTAGTGTTTCAAAGACTCATAGAGATAAGTAAAGGAAATATCCAAACATCACTTTAGTTAATTAAAACGAAAAGTATTTTTCTTCGAATTAACATTTTGACTGATACTAAAATCTCTTATCTATAGATTAAACATTGATGATTCGGTTTTGGGTGCATAATCATTCGAGAGACTTTATTCAAATCCCGGCAAACTTCCACTGATCATGATCATATTCATGTACATCTTTTAAAGACAAGAAAACAAATGCTCTTGTGAAATGAGTTGGAAGGGAGTTAAGCAAAGAAACAGGTGAAATTTTCGATGACAATCCGAGAATTAAAGAAACCAGAAATTGTTCAGCTGCTGTTTGATTCAAGGACTTGTCATCCATGGCAGGAAAATATTCGTTTTTAATGATACACAAGTGTGGAATATTCAGAGATATCTTGCTAGCTAACGAGTTAGATAATGAACAAAATTCTCTGACCAAAAATAAATATGTTGACAGTTGAGGGACAAGTATTTCTCTTAACACTGAAAGAGATAATTGTGGTCGTCAACCAACATGGAAATAACAGATCAATAAAAGCAATAAGGAATACATTTCTGCCAATAGCCCAATATCTGTATTTGTATATGTACGTGCGTTCAGTAGATAGATAGATAGATAGATAGATAGATAGATAGATAGATAGATAGATAGATTGGTAGATAGATAGATAAATAGATATTAAGAAACTAAAACAGAGATAGATAATGAACAGGCTGATAGATGAACAAACTAAAATAGATAGATAATGAACAGGCTGAGATAGATAGATAGATAGATAGATAGATAGATAGATATTAGGAAACTAAAATAGATAGATAGATAATGAATAGGCTGAGATAGATAGATAGATAGATAGATAGATAGATAGATAGATATTAAGAAACTAAAATAGATAGATAGATAGATAGATAGATAGATATTAAGAAACTAAAATAGATAGATAGATAATGAATAGGCTGAGATAGATAGATACATAGATAGATAGATAGATAGATAGATAGATAGATAGATAGATATTAAGAAACTAAAATAGATAATGAACAGGCTGAGATAGATAGATAGATAGATAGATAGATAGATAGATAGATATTAAGAAACTAAAATAGATAGATAGATAGATAATGAACAGGCTGAGATGGATAGATATCCTCAAGGACACATGGAACAGTGGATAAAGGCGTTGGTTAGATCCAGTGACAGGACCCAAAGAGTGTGAGTTCAATACCCGGTTAAGGCAGTGGAGAACTTTCAGAGGAAAATTAGCTGGAGATAACTGATAACTGACATCCATCAAGCATGGAACTAGAACAGTCTACCCCAGTGAGCGAAATAAAGGGTTCAGTTCGAAATTACAACCACCTGAAGAAGGCCGGAGCGTACAACGGCCGAAACGTTGTGATAAATATGGCGACAAAGATGAGTACAATAGTCCGAATAATGTAAATAATGTAGATAGATAGATAGATAATGAGCAGAATGAGAAAGAAAGAAAGAAAGAAAATAAAAGAAAGGAAGTGGGAAAGAGAGTGACAATATTTTGTGATGTTGTCCGGGTAGCCATTGAAAATAATATCTAGAACGGTATCTTACAATCTATAAGGGTTTATTTTAAACAAGAACAATGCAAGTAGATATTTACAAGTTCGTCTGAAACTGGAAAGCAAGCCGGTATTTAGCCGACCTCCCCTCGTAGCTGGATGTAGAACAAAGCTGATTTTTATGTAGGGCAATCCGAGCTCGTAGGCTCGGACAAAAATTCCCCATAGACCCCGCATATACGGGGTTGGGTTTGTCTACCTCCTCAGACGAGACTGGGTTCCTCTCTGCCCAAAAGCAGAGAGTTCGACGTCCTGATACTTTCTCAAACCTAAGCTGGAAAGCAAGCGGTATTTACCCGACCTCCTTACGAAGCAGAATATGGCACAAGGCCGATTTTTATGTGGATTTTTCTACATAATATTAGACAGGTTGATACTCACACATAGACACAGTAAAAAGAACCTTCAGATATTGGAGGCTATCTACATTAAAACAAAGCAACCCACACTCAACAAAATTACATTTCAAACTAGTCGCAACACATTACATTGCATCTAGATATATGTTTCTGTTGTTATATTTCGGCCTCTCGCGTGGTATGACGTCATAGAATCGCCTCTTGAACTTACGATTTGCTATTCCGTGACCATTATCGTCGCATAGCTATCTTCTATGTCAACATAACAAAATATTATCTTTGATGATGAATATCTTTGTTAAAATGTTCGTATAACTACTCTGAAGATGGCTCATGTGAGCCGAAACCTTAGATTAAGGACCAACTTAATTAAAAAATATCCAAATGTTGGCTAATTTTTGTTTTTATTTTCTCCCGAAATTAAGCAAACATACGAACATTAGAATGGCTAATGTTCAGACATAATAGACTTTCATTGTCTGTTATATTTAACAATATATATATATATATATATATATATATATATATATATATATATATATATATACGTTTCATTAAATAATATAGACAAGTGTTGTCTATTTATTTTATGTAAAATTTTTTCGTATCTTCTGATAAGTTTGATAACATTATCATTAAACGAAGAAAGAAATTCACAATATTTATCCATTATTTTAATATAATCTAAGCTTTCGGATTACTTAAGCCATTATCAAAGATATAAATCACAAACATATTAAACAATATACGGACACGACAGTGATGATAGTTTGTCATTGTTTACATAGTGGATCACTCAGCAACAATAAACACGCGCATATAAGACGCTAGAAGCGAAAATCGCACAGCATCTCATGACGTCACACATGACTACACGAGAGTGAATTGTAGAATGAAATAAGGAAAGCCGTTGGTATAAACCAATGGCTTCTGTTACCAATTATAGAAATTATAGACATTTATAGATATTTATATATATATATATATATATATATATATATATATATATATACTTTATATGTGTGCGTGTGATTATGCATAGTATATACACACATATGTGTAATAACGATATATGACTTATTTGTATATCAAGAACAATTTTGGAGGAAAGCTGTATGACAAAGTAGAAAAAGTTTTTCGTATAACGCGTTTCGTCTTTTAGGACTTCATCAGACTAAGTTTCTTTACGATGATGCGACTACGCATGCGCACGTTCTAGAGACGGTGAGAATTTTAAATTTAGAAAAAACAATTGTTTTTTCATATGTATTTTAGTTAAATAATCCAGCCAATTTCATTTAGATTATTTTTTGGTTTTGTTTCTATGAGCTTTGCTATTAAATATCCCATATATAACAGATCAGTGATATATATATATATATATATATATATATATATATATATATATATATATATATTTGGGATCTCCGAGGATATAAAACAAACAAAGAAACCGAGTAACTTTCTAGTTTCTGGTCATCGGATGTGTTGTGCTGATTTGGTTTATGGAAATCTCTTATCCTCAGAGATCCCGACGCATTTTGCT